GTGACCTTCTTGCTGCGAGGCACCTTGCAGCCCATAATTTAAACAATGACTAGAATATATTTTCACTTACACCATTAGGTCTAACAACTCCAGACTAAGTGCAGCTATAGTGTATACAAAATAAGGCAACCTGTGAATGTTGGATGTGTCACAGATTTTGCCCTTGTACTGTTTGTTTCTGTGTTTTTCCATGAGCCACATTGCAGATCAACCTGCCGTTTGGTCAGGCGGTACATGGCATGGATAGATGGATGGTGAGCTAGGGAGGAGAAAAGGTCAGGAACTGATAGAGATCTTTTTTTATTTATGACTAAATGTAAATTTGTCTAATTTCCTGCTGAAACAACATACATGTTGATTTTTACTAAATGCTATTTAACAAACTGTCAGAATAAATAAGATTAGCAAGCTAGCTGTTATATTAAGCTAGCAGGTAAGCTCATATTCAAATTAACTGTCAAGCAGAATATCACAGCAACTAAAACTGCCCCATGGTGACGGAATTCAAGGTAGGTATTTAGCTCCTATCTATAACAGCATTAAAGTCAGTGGATATTTTATTATGGTAGTATGTAAACAATTCCCTTTCCATGTAATTATCACAAAGACTGGTGCATGTATAGTAATTAAGTCATATTAATACTCTCTTTAGTGACTGCCTAAAGCCAACATTTCTATATCTGTTACTGATACACAGGAGAGTGCTCTTACAGAAGACCCTTCTTGTGATCAGCTGGTTGATCTGCACACTGCCACATTTAGAGCAGAAGAATGTCAGACCTGCTTGTTCTTTGTGTACAGTCCGCCAAATGGTATCAGTCTTGGTCCTGGTCTTAAATGGTTTTACATGTTTTCAGATTGAAATGTCTGCCTGTGTATTCAGAAATATTTTGGGTGTCACCGTTGCTGGTGTGAATTGAAATACCTCAAAAATGATTTAAAACCACACTTCTTTTTCCACCACATTACTGTGCCTGTTCGGTAAACATGATGTAATATGCAAATAAGACTGGAAATATGTTAGTCTCACTTCTTCATAGTTACTGCAGTGCTTGTCCTTTTGTTTCATTTTCTACTACTATGACCCACCTCTGCTCCATGTTTCCTTCCTTCCCCTTTTTTTTCTCTTTTTTTTTGCCTCTTTCCTCTTTTGTCCCCGGTGTCCTTATTGTGACTGCATTTCTTCAGCATTTTTTTCACTGTTCTTTCACCGTTACACCGTGTCCCCGTTCTCTGCTATGCTTCCCCTGCTCCTGTTCCTCCATCACGCCATCTCGCTCTGTCTCTCTCTTCCTCTCTTGCATCCCACCCTGGAGGTCACTCCAGGCTGATTGCTTTCTGCATGCTTCACACACAAACCTCTACGCTGTCCTTAAGATCCCTCTACATACACAAGCACACACACGTAAGTGCACACAAGCAAAAGCACACGGGCGTGCAATCCTCCACAGAGCCACATGTGCTCAA